AACGCCCTGGAACGCACTGAAAGCCCATTTTAAACTAAAAAACAATTTTAAACAGCCCGGAACGCATCACAAACGCGGCACAACCCACTGCACTGCGTGTGCAGAACCTCATGCAGATCTGGTCAGCATTTGATGTGAACAAGCCCTGAAGCAGACTGAATCTGAAGCGGCTGCCCATGGCAACCAATCAGCTTCTCTCTTTCATTTTCAAAGCTTAAACTAGGATTAAACTCTCAAACAGTTTTTTGAATAATGAATCCAGATCAAAAACATACAAAGTATTTATTTAAAATTCTGTCTATGCACTTACATTCATCATGGTTTAGTACAGCTCCAACTCTCTCACCTCCGCTTCCCTGAACTTCCTGTCCAGTACAAGACCCCCAATGGACAGCAAAGTCTCCAGCAGCTGTCCATCTAGGGGAGATGGGAAGATTGGGGAGCTGGGAACTTGGGAATGTCTTGTTTTGATGTGCCAGGGGGGAGTGGGTAGCTTTATTTGCTGTGTCGGTGTTTATGGAGACGCAAAATGAGTCACCCCAAAACAGAATATCAGAACCAGTGCTCAAGAAACAAGCTGATTCCGCAGGAAGTTAACTTTTAAACATCAAGAAGCAGCATCCATTGTAAGTAATTTAATCAGCATTTGAAATAGCTTAAAAACATTTTGACTGTAATATCACTTTAACTTGCACCGGCACTAGGGTTGCCACCTGTCCGGGATTCACCCGGACAGTTCGGGTTTTGAATGCTGTGTTTGGGTTTCATGGCATCAGAAACCCGGACACAAGATGTCAAGCAGACAAGGACAACCAAAATTAAGATAGGGCTACTGGCCCCCCACTGAAAACAGTTTCAACTGTGATATTTACATATGAATGGGCGGCGTTATGTACATATGAATAAGCTACGACTTATTCTCCCCAAAAAATGTCTGTGCGTTGCTAGAGTGTTTGGGTTTGGCTTGAAGAAAAGGTGGCAACCCTAACCGGCACGTACAAATGTGGTGAATGTGCCTACTGTCCGTGGATACAGGAAGGAAGTATGTTTATTTTACCCAATGAAAGGAAATGTACTGCCAAACATTTTGCGAATTGCTCTACCACAGCTGTAGTATATCTTATGACATGCAACTGTGGCTCCTTCTACGTAGGAAAAACTAAACGTCAACTACCACGTAGAATATACGATCATGTATACCTAATATCAAAAGAAATATAATCTACTCCAATTAGCCACCATGTAGGGTTGGTACACAGTTTTGATTCCTCATGTATGAAATTCCGAGTGTTGGAAAGAGTACATGAAAATAACAGGGGAGGGGACATTGACGAAGAGGTACTCAGGAGGGAAACTAGAAGGATACATACACTGCAGGCGACTAAGCCTCCAGGCCTCAATGAGGTTATAAGTTACAAACCATTCCTGTGCCAAAAGTAAAAGTGCTGATGCCCACTGTACTGCGGTGTGATCATGTGTGCGGACGTGGGGGGTCTTTACATAGGGGTTAAATAATTGGTTGGATACCTTAGATACTTTATATATCTGTGTGGCCTTGCCTCCTTTAAAAATGGACCAAGACCAAGCCTGAATAAGCTTTGTAACATACCTTTATCTTTGAAGGCTGGAAAAAGGGTTAATCCCTTTGCTTCGGAGGTTCAATTGGGACTTCTTTACAGGAAGTGACATATTTCTTACAAATTGATGGTCTTTTGTGGTTTTGTCCCCTATGCGCATGCGCTTCAAGCCTCTTTTTGCGCGGATGCGCGCAAACGGCCCCTACGCCGGATGTGACGTCATAATTGACGTTTTGGCGTCCGGTGAAGAGGGATTTAGGAGGGGATGGGGGTTTTGGCACTCTCAGGTGGTTGGAGCTTAGGAGACGGTAAAGAAAAGAGAACTGGCTATTTTTATGGTAAGAGATAAACTTATGGAGACTTTTGTTTGTTGCTGTGATTAGATGCACCTTTTTGAAAAGGCCTTACAGGCCTATGTATCCTTCCTTTTATGGATATGATGTTATCGCAGAATTTAACACTGACATACCCCATTGGTTTTACTTAGAGGCTGTGTTTGGAGCCCAGGTTGTTGGCTATAGAATGTACACCGGTGATGGAAATGGATAATGTCAGGTAACACGAGAAATTATATTTAAAGTGTACCCACTGGGGCAGATGCCCTTATAGTCTCTTAACTGCTTGAAGACCAGTTGTTTAGATCCCCTACCTGGCCAGGCCATTTTTCAGTGTTCAGCGCTGCGGTACTTTGACTGACGTTTATTCCGTCACGCAACGCTGTACTGAAATGAATTTTATACCATTTTTTGGGGACAGATAGAGCTTTCTTTTGGTGGTATTTAATCACCACTGCGGGTTTTATTTTTTACTATATTCAGGAGAAATTACTGAAAATTTTGAGAAAAAAACGTTTTTTTTTACATTATGCTATAAAACCACTAATATTACCCACTTTTTTGGTAAAATATAAAAGATGGGGTCACGTCGGGTAAATAGACACCAAACATGTCAAGCGTAAAAATTGCGCGCACTCGCAAAATCGCAAAAAACTAGCATACCCAAAATTGGCCATAGGCGACGCTTTAAAAGCTTTTACCGCTCATCAGTTTAGTGTTATCAGTGATTGATGGCCCTAGAACTATTGCTCTCATTCCGACGTTCGCGGCGATATGTAACATGTGCGGCGTAATGGGTGCAATCGTCGTTTTCGCAGGTATGCGCACCTGACGCATGTTTACATGCGTGTATGTAGGGGTGGGGACTTTAAAAAAAAAATTGTTTTTTTTAATTCTTTTTTGTGTAACTTTAAAAAAATGGGGGGGGAAACTTTAAATTTTTGTACTATTTTTTTTTTCACTTAACTTTATTGCTATCACAGAGGGGGCTGAGAAACCCCCTTATGTGATAGCAAAAGAGGTGACAGGTCCTCTTTATGGAGACATCCGGGGGTCTCCAAGACCCCTAATGTCACCTAGGACCCCCCTGAAGAAGCTGATGAAGCAGAGATCTGCTTCATCAGCTTCTCTACAGCATCTGAAGCTGGAGAGTGACACAAGAATGCGGAAGTGATGTAATATACAACACTTCCGCATTCTGACAGCGGAGAGGGGACCGGAGGGAGCTCGTGTACCGAGCTCCCTCTGATCCCCTGTGACAGAGGCACTATGCTGGTCCCGGGCTCACACCGGAGCCCGGGACCAGCTTGACAGCGCGAGGGGGAGAGCCGCGGAGGGGGGGGGCGCACGTCTCGGGGCTTCATACAAGCGATCCGCCGGCTCTATAGCCGGCGGATCGCTTGTATATTAACGGGCATCGCTGCCTCTTTTCAAATAGCGGGGATTTCCCGCTCGCGCGCGCCGCACGGCGCGCCCGAGCGGGCGGATGTAACAGGACGTGTATACACGCCCAGTTACATCCAAGAAGCTCCCGGCAGGCCGTGTATACACAGCGGCTGGCCGGGAGGTAGTTAAAGAGTGTTCATTGTTCTTTCATAGGTGCGATCTTTTCAATAATAATAAGAATTTCTGAGATGTTCTCATCTAATAGAAAATCTGGACTCTTCTGAAACCTCTCTCTCTGTAGTTTCCTGCTCTGACTTGGGGGTTGTCTGGCTCTCTACCCCATTTCTATTGGTCCCTCCCCGTCCGTGCCCATGATTGAGTGTTGGTCAGTGGTGGATCCAGCCATCTTTACAGACTATTGTAAGTTTATTGAACTAAACAAACTGCACTAAGTATTCTAATGTATTTGCATAGGTAAACTATGAACTCATTGTAAATAAAAAATATGATTTCCTTGTAGAAAGACAGTAGCTTTTTTTCCTGAAGAAGCGGATCTCTGTGAAACGCGTTGAAATCTGTTCTCCCACGGGACTACAAATTAAACTAGGAAGCTGATATCCAGCAAATTGTAACAAGTATAGTAATATAGAAAAAATTGTGGGAGGATGCGGCTACATCCTATGGTCTCTTTTAGGCAATCTTGTTTGTCTTTCTTTTTTAAAAACTATGCATTTTAAATATATTTATGAATACAAATTGTTATACTTTATATAAAAATCAAATGTATTTTGTGTGATCCTTGAAGTACCCTAAAAGTCCAAATCCTCCTTTATTATGATATCGCTTTAACTTCAACTGAAGAGATAAGCTGACTGGTTACCATGGACAACTACAACTACTACAGGTCCTGCTGCAGTTTTGATAAATCCTCCCCCCCCTCCCCCCACTCTTTACGCTTGCCAGCGAGAATTGATAATTTTCGCCTGCGGCCACCCCAAATCCGTTCTCTGAAATATACTTAGGAAAGCTCTGCTGCAAAGTATATCCTTGCTGCAAAGCGCTCCCTAGGTGCTGAGGAAATGGCCACGGGGGAGAAATCAACCGATGACACTGTTGTCTCCTATTGCGGCTTGTTTTTGGGCTCAGAAATTTGCTGGATAACTAAGTATTGGCACTCTGCCCTCACTTGTGATGGCGTTTCCTACTTCCGCTCATTCCCGTCCTATTTTACGTCATTTCTGGCCGGCGGCACATGCGCAGTTTTGCTGAGAGAGCGAGGTGGAGGTCCGTTGCCTAGCAACGCCGGTCGCGTTACCCCTGCCGCCCGCAGGTGCATTATGTATCGGAGGATGACAGGCGCCGTGCCCTGTAGCCGTGCGTTCGGTCTGCTCTGATCGTGCCACATATCAGGTGACTCTTCTGGACGTCTGTGGTATATTTTCTGTTGCAGCTTGTGCTCCAATGACTGAACTCCATTGTTATTGTATTTTAGTTGCTCTACAACCATGAACCAACCCGAGGCACTGGAGCCCATGGATTCCAGGTGGGGATGAATGCTTCCTATGTGCCCCTATGGATGAGTGCCTGATAAGAGAGCTTATTCCTGTCTGTTTGTTTGGTTTTAGGGGGAGACACACATTGACAGGGATGGCTGAGTTCTGAACTTCAGGCTGTCACTCTTCCTGGGATTGTGAATGAGAAGAAACATTACACCACACTACTGAGACGCTGCTGCGGCAAGGGACAGCCATGCAAGACCAAAGGACCAAATCTTACTCATATCCTTTTGAATATCTGTGTGGTAGGTTCAGGCTGCTTGCAGGATGCGCTGGTACCTGCAAATCTTCTTCTTAAGTGAAATGGACAATGCATACTGGCTGGCTAGGACTGCCCGATCTTAATGCGTTTGGACCTTGCATGGGCTTGATTACAGGGAAGGAACTTCATTTATAAAATGCACAATTGCAATACTAATTGTATTCAGGGTAATGCATATTGGCTGCCTGTGGCTGTACAATGTAAATATGTGTGTATGCCCCCCTACCAGAGAGCCACAGGTGCTGTGTAAAGCCTCTAATTGTATCAATGGCTGTATATGCGAGGCTTGTGTAAACACATGCATGTGTACGGATGCACAGCCTGAGGATGTAAACAGTCTGCGGTTGGGGTTCTGCATCTGTATATATGCACAGCATATACCCTACTGATATTGGGGGGAATTCATAAAAACTGTAGCAGAAAGAATCTGTAGCAGTTGCCCATGACAACCAATCAGCTTCTCTCTTTAATTTGTTCAGCTAAAGTGACATTAAAGTCTGTTCCCCCCAATTCTGCTGTAGGGACTTACATTAAATGATGCCTCTTGATCCGATCATCTTCTTTCTTCCAGTAGTTTCCATCAGTCCTTGATCCAGCACTGACTGCTGTGTCTTCTGTGTCCCACGGTGCCTGTCCATGTGCACGCTGCCGGGCTGCCTGTATTTACTTACCCTGGGTCTCTCTTCTTCTCCCCACCGAAGATCTGTACTGCGCATGCGCCCGCCCCATCATCCTTCGCGGGAATCTTCAGATCTTCCGACAGGAGTGCGCGGAGGAGACACAGGTAACTATTGACCTTTTTTGGTAACTTTTGGGGTATTTTTAATGTTTTTGCATATATTTATTGCTTGCTAGCAGTAGATACATGCAAAAACCCACGAAGGTTTCATTGTACTTTGTTTTGAAAATGAAACTGAGAAGCTGATTGGTTGCCTACGGGTAACTGCACCAGATTTTGTCTGCTCCAGTTTTTATGTGTTCTTCAAGGTGTTCTTTAAATGAATGAGGGGAGATCCTGTAGTTTACTGGCCCCTCTTCTCCCCTTGTCTCTTCACAGAACACCTGGCAATCTAAGAAAGAAAGCAAGGCTTTTTATGAATGGACGAGGGTACACAACACGATCCCCACATTGTAGGGACAAAAACTTTCAGGGCTCCTTCAGCTGCTTAGACATGCCAGTCACCGCACTTAGTGTGATCAACTCCAGTTACTGCAAGGGCACATTGATTAAAATGTTTTTGTGTGCCCAGTTCACACCAAAATGCTTTCTTGAGGTGGGTTGTGGTCTAAAAAATGCAGATATGCTGCATTTTTCTGCACCTTACATTCTGCACCACACCTGAGCTGCTGTAAATACAGATGAATGAAATGTCACTTTGAGCGCTATAATATCTGGCATCAACGAAGATACCAGGATTTCTACTGTAAGCGTAACCAACAGCATTAGCTTCTCCTTATGACTGCTTCTAACCCCCCACCCCCCAAAACAAGTTTAAAAAAATCCCCCCGAAGTTCTGCCTCATTTAAAGCTGTATTTTTCATCTCATCCTCCATAACAGCATTCACCTGTAGGTAGTGTTGTGGTAGATTCCTGGAAACCATTGGTTAGAGTAGTTCTCTTTCTAGGGCCAGGTAGTGTTTATCTCCCATGAGGATGTCCTATGAAAAGTTGTACTCTTGGGTCTGATCATACAGAAGAATGAATATCCCTTACACATTTTGTTTGTTTTTATAACCCAAATCTAATGACAGTGCTTTACACAGGACTTTAAGAGTACGCCTAGCCAAGTGAAGCTTACAACCTTTTACTGAGAATACAGACCACTCCCCTGAACATCGGCTGACTTGCTTCCAATTTGGGGGCTGTTATCAAACTCTAAAAAAGCAGGGCTTCCTTACATAGAACACTACCTTCATTTTGTTATGCTCACATAAAGAGGGACCCTTGTGTCCACTTTCCACACTTTACAACCTTCTGCTGTCATATTCTGTATGTGACCTGCTTCCCTTCTATAGCTTAATGGGAAAAGGAACTTGGGTGTAACCGCTCAGAAATGTCACCTTCAAAGTCCTTCATTTTAACTCATAGGCTCTACAAGGCCAGACATACACAGGAAATGATCTTTAAAACCCCTACTAGGTGGTATTGTTGCCCCTACAGGTTGCACTCCATTTTTCTAAGTCCCTGATACTTGTTGGTGCCGGAATTATGTTGCAAAACTCTCCATGCTTCGGTCCTCTAGCCACCAGAACACGCACTCCACAGCTTGCCTTCTTTGCCAGCGAAGTCATTTCTAGGCATTGGAAATTACCTGCACCCCCATCTCTCCAGGAATAGGTGGGCGAGATGTAATATCTAAAGTGTTAGGATGAGCTGATGGGAAACTTATACAACCAATTTCCACAATTTTACACCATCTGGTGTCCCTGGCTACATTTCTGTGCCACATCTCAATTCCAAGCAATACTAGTCCCTTAAATAAAGCTTCAGCACTCAGACTATTTTAGCCTTGTTATAACATGATGATGTATCCTCCTTGCTTGGGTGCTCCTTGCCCTTCCCTCCCTCCCTTTTCTTTTTTCACTTTTGTTTCTAGCCTGTATGATTTTTCAGCAGTTTCAGATTCATAGTGCTGTGATCTGTACCTTTTACTGTTACACTTTGTAAAGTTTAACATTTGAATTGGATATTAAAAAAACAACCTACAAGCTCCATTGAGATAGTCTTTAAGCGACAATTGGACTCAAAATTGCGAGGCTTACCACTTAGCCCCAATACCACACTAAGGCTTTGCTTACACAAGTCATTCAGGAGTTTGCAGTATGGCCTGCTGAACACCTATAAACTGGATGTCAACCACTCTCTAAAAAGAGGTTCACAGCAGATTGCTTTTCACAGGGCGATGCACGTGTAAATTAGGCCTCCATGAAAATGAACATGGTATTGGGAAGAAGTCTTGTCCCCATCACTCTACATAAGGATGAACTGATCATTGTGGTGCAGGAGGGAGAGAGATGTGTTGAGGGTTTTTGCAGGGAGCAATGTCCCAAGGCTTCTTGTTTTTATGAAGCTGTTAGGCTTTGTACACAATTTCTAGCCTGGTTCTTAGCCCACAAGGAACACGCACTGATTTTCCCAATTGGGTGTATAAGGTTGTTCACAGAAGGACATCCTTTAAATCAGTGGTTCTCAAGCTGTGTAACCTCAGGACCCACATTTGTCCTTGGTCATTAGGTCACGACCCAAGTCTTCAAATGAATGGCAATGCAGCACGCCTCCCACCCTAGAATGCACAGTAGGTGCGATTGCGTGGTACAGTGCATTTATCACATGGTACTATGCGATTAACATACTGTACTAGTGTGAATGGGCCCTCAAAAACACTGACATACAGACACAATCTCACAGACGTTCTCACACACCATGCACACTCCAAAAACAATTCTTTTTTTTAGGTCCATCCAGTCTCCCTAGCTTACGAGAACTGGAGTGGATTTTCAGCCTGGGGTCCAGTGCGGGCTGCTGTGCTGTTATGGAGCTCCATCCATATCTATTGTACAGCTCCCTTCACGCCCTGTAGAGGTGCTGGGAGCCAGAATGTGACGTCACTCCGATCCAAGCACCATTAAAGGGCACAAGAGGGAGCTATAAGGAATGCACGTATGGATGGAGCTCCCTCGCGGCCATAGCCCTATCCCACTCCACTCCAAGCTGACATTTTAAATGCTGCTTGGTGCAAGAACTGACTGTTGCGCTAGCAAGAGGCTGAGGAGCCTCTAACCTGGAAAAGTGGAAGGCACGCAGTGTCCCACTGAACACAGAGTCGCGACCCACTTTTGGGTCACAACCCACCAGTTGAGAACCAAGGCTTTAAATCAATAAGTGCTTAAAAATTATATAAAAAGTCAACATTCATATATCCTAATACCTGTAATATACTGTACATGTGCATATTAAATAACATGTTCCAATGCAATAGGGTGTAAAAACCCACACAGATCCAAAATCAGAAGGTTTTCTCAGTAGTGATGTGAAACATTACGCCTTTTGTGTTCAATCCATCTTCAAATGTGTGTTCACTTCTGTGTAAATCCCCAAACACAGCTCACTCACTAGGTCCCAATGTTCTTTTACTAAGATGGTTAAAAGAAGCGCTTCATATATAGATCCAGCTCCATATAAAGAATCCCACGCCCTGTGTATAGTGGGCTCCACTTTACACTTAAGGCCAAACAAGAAAAAAAGAAAAATGCCGATAGTTTAAACATGTTATAAACCTTTAACCTATATTTAGAATTGAATGAGAGCATAAGTGCTAAACCAATAATGCTAAAAAGCATATGGCAAACTGCTCTGTTTGATCAGGGTGGCTGTGCCCTTGGTTTTTGGTAGTGTCTGACCTCACAGTGCCTGCCCTCTCAATGCGTCCAGTAGACTTTCTTAGTAGCGTTGTCCTGAGGAAGTTCAATAGAAGAGCTGGATGCTTCTATATGAAGCACATTTGACCATCTTGGTAATGAGGTCATTGGGATCTAGGGAGTGAGCTGTGTTTAAGGGAATTACATGGAGGTCAATGCACATTTCATGATGGATTGAACTGTAAAGAAGCAGTGTTTCATGTCACTACTAAGTGGGCGTTTTATACCATATTGTATTGGAATGTGTTACTTAATCCATATTCAACAGATAGTAGGCTATATAAATGTTGAACTATTTGTATAGTTTTTTTTTAATCCACTTATTGATTTAAAGGGTGCCATTATGTTAAGGATTATAATCAATGTGTTTACCTAGTTATTAAGTGCTGAACACATTTTGGTTACCACTATAGGTGCTGCTATTTGTGGTTTGTGCAGGAGGAGTGCAGAGTTTTCTCTTATATAGTGTTTACAAATTTAGAGTCCGGTCCTTCCAAATGTAATTCCTCCACTGGGGAATGTTGCTGGATCTGTGGGTGATTTTTGAAACCCTGTTATCTTCCTATGCCTGAGGCATGGTAATCCACACTTAAACCGTTTGTAAACCCGGATACTCTGTCCATGGATTTAGGTTGGGTGCACGAACCACAATTAAACCATCCATAAAACACTGAGAAATATCAAAAACACCTAAAGTGCAAGATAGCTAAGATCCCTGAAGTAGCTTCTGTCATTCCATGTACTTTGTACCGACCAGGCAGGTGTAGACAGCTGGGAGATGGAATGGAACCTTGTGTGCTGTATAAAGGCACAGTTTATTTCCCCCACGGAAAACAGGATCATGCGCACCATGGTGGCAACATTACACAGGCTAGAGCAGACTGCAGACTATTGCCACCAGGAACATAGAAGTCATAGTATCTGGCAGGATCAATAGGTACTTTATGCATACTTAAAGTAGCATTAAGGTCTGGGCGTTTATTAATTTAATGCATTCTCTGCATTAGGGTAAAAATGGCCCAGCACCTTTTTTCTACACCAGTCCCCTCCACACTTACCTGTCAGCTACGCTCGTCCCCGCTGCCAGTCCAAAGAGATCCTCCGTTTCGCGAACTAACGGGTTGCGGGGGGAGGATACTGATGGCAGAGGAGCCATAGGCTCCTTCTGCCATCAATCAAAGAGGGAAGAGGCGTGGCCTGCCACAGGGCTGTGTGTCTCTATGGACGCACACAGGCACTGCGGAAACGAGCGTGCACGGTTGCCTCCATTAGAAACAATGGTGGCACCCGTGCAGGGGGCGGGGGGAATTGCGCTGCGGGGAGCCACGAGAAAACAAGGAATTAGGAACTTTTAAAGAATAAAATCAACAGCCTCCAGCAAAGGAGGGTCTCCTTAAAGGAGAAATTAAAAAAAAAGTTAGGCTTTAATATCACTTTAAAGGTTTTGGAAATAAAGGACACGTATAGTTAGAGCAGTGTTTCTCAAACGTTTTTTAGTCATGGCACCTTTTAAAAGTATGGAAAATCTCAATGCACCCCCACCTTCCCCCTTTATACCAGTGCCCCACCATCCCATCGGGAGCTGCAGCAGTGGCAACATGGCAGGGAGTGGGAGGCAAAGCATACCTGGACAAAGCAAACTTCTATCCTTTTCTGACTAGATCCAACCCTCCCTAAATTAGCATCATTCCAATACATGGTGCTGGTGGCCGGCCCGAGGCACCCCTGAGGAGGCCAGAAGGCACCCTGTTTGAGTAAGGCTGAGTTAGACTAATCTTATAGGTAGGCTTTTGTGATGAACGTGACACTTGTTTAACTTGTTTGTTTTATAACAGGTTTACTTTAAAGTGTTTACAAACACTTTAAAGTAAACCTGTCATAAAACAAACAAGTGAGCAAAAGTAGCCCCTTTATTTAATTCATGACCGGTTAAAGTGTATCTAAACCCATTTTTTAACATTTCAAGCTGTCACTGCAACAGGAATAGAGGGAGAACCTTCAGATAGAAACACTTGTGACAACTGTCTATGGCCCGGATGACACCTTTTGTGGTGCATTAATGTACTGTACATGGGTTAATGTGCATTGTGTTAGGGCAGACTATTCATTTTGAATAGGCTGCCAGTACACCCCAACGTGGACAGAACCCAGGCCTGTTCTCTTTTACGGAGTGCATGGTAACGTGTTACTGCGCATTTGGATGACCTTCAAAAGCAATAGATGCAAGAGCAATGCCTGCATGGTGCGGAAACACGCATTACTACAACACAAAGATGTGATCACCGACCCTAGGAGGATTTCTCTTACTTTGAAGAGATCTCTTCTCACTTATTTCAAACAGAAACTGATGGATAATCTCCACCATAGTACTCAGACCGCAAAAATAGTTTTTTAGTAATCTTTAAAATAGAAACTACTAGAGAGAACATGAATCACCGCACATTTTTTACTAGATTTCTCATGGGCAGCAGGAAAGGCATCCAAGATGACCTTTTTACCATGGTGGAGCACTTTGGGCAATCATAAGTACTGCTTGACGTGTGGTTCTTCAACACACGCATCTAAGAACAGCTGCATCCTTCTAAAGACTAAAAAACATATACATATTTTCTACTTTTAAGCACTAAGCTGTTCTGCCGAGACCCAACATAATTACTAACAGCAGCTGGGTGTTCAGTTTATGTGAATCGGGTCTGTTTTGCCAATATGACCACATTCTGTTTAGAATCAGTTGTATTCAAACATCCTTGTAAAGTGTTTAACTCGCTTTTTCCTTAACCGTGTTTTATCACAAGAAATGTTAAAACACAGCTGGAAATAGACTGGGAGGAAGAACGGCGAGCTATGCTGGAAGAACAGAAAATAATCAGGCAACGTGCACAGAAATTATCAGTTGAGACCAATCGACGAAGGAAGTAAGCCTTTCTTATTGCAACTATGTGGTCAGTCTATTAGTAATTCATTCTCATTTTGTGATTTAAACTACGATTATTATTATTATACAGGATTTATATAGCGACACCAGTTTGCGCAGCGCTTTACAACATAGGGAAGACATTACAATTCAAGACACGATGGTACGGAGGACCTTCCCCTCGAGAGCTTACAATCTAAGAGGGAGGGGCAAGTGATACATGAGGAGGTAGCTGTGTGGGGATGAATTGTTTGAGAGAGATAGTTCAGCGGTTAGTTTGAGGTGGAATAAGCTTTCCTGAAGAGATGAGTCTTATTGATCGCCTAAAGGCAGTCCGAGTGGGAGATAGACGGACATGTTGGGGTAAAGAGTTCCAAAGAATGGGAGAGGCTCTAGAAAAGTCCTGGAGGCGCGTATGGGAGGAGTTGACGAGGGAGCTAGAGAGCAGGAGGTCTTGGGATGAGCGGAGAAGACGTTTAGGCTGATTGAGACAAGGTTGGAGATATAGTCGGGGGCGGAGTTGTGGATGGCTTTGTAAGCAGTTGTTAATATTTAGAATTTTTATCCTTTGGGCGAGTGGAAGCCAGTGCAGGGATTGGCAGAGGGGGGTTGCAGACACTGAGTGGTTGGTTAGGTGGATGAGTCTAACAGCAGCATTCATGATAGACTGAAGGGGGCAGAGCCTGTGTAGTGGAAGGCCAATGAGATGGGAGTTACAATAGTCCAGACGAGATATAGCAAGCGAATGGATGAGTAGTTTTGTGGTTTCATTGGTGAGGAAGGGGCGTATTTTGGAGATGTTACGAAGGTGAAGACGGCAGGATTTGGATAGTGATTGGATAACTCGCATTCATGAGGCACACCACCAGCAATTGATTTTCAAAGTAAAGACTTTTCAAAATAAATTAATAAATACTGTACTTTTTTAAGCTGTCATGTATTAGTCACATGATTTATTTTTATTTTTTTCATGGTCGGGGCTAAGCTGCAGCAGGTGACAAGGCTTAGTGACATTGGTTCAGTTTTTCAGACCCTCTCAAGCACCACAGGCAGCAATGACCTGTGGGGCGGATCACATGCTTGATTGACCGCTCCACTGCACTTTGTTTGGCTTGATGGGGTAGGGGCGGAAAAAACTATAGCAATTCTACCTAACCTAGGTTGCGCTGATGTAGAAGAATCACTCAGTAAGCCATGAGTAGACACAGCTTACTGAGTAGAAGTAGCGGAGCATGCGTACTATGGTGGCAACGCAGCAGGACTCTATGAGCCCACACAGAGCGTTGCCACCAATAAAAAAAAAGGATCATTGACTAGCAGGAGCAGCAGGTATTTTATGTGTAAGGGAAGTTTGCATGCATAGTAAAAATTATTAGGAAGGGTGTCCTTTTTTTGGTGGGGAAGGGGGGTGTTACTGACACTATAAACACAGACGTGCTTTTTCCTTTCTCCGTTCTAACCTGCTTCTTTGCCTCAAGTAATCCATTGGTGACATTCTGTTCTCCCCTAACACACCAGCTTTCTGCCTAGGGGTCATTTTTGAATTTTTCCTCTTACTGTTTGCACATGTGTGTACAACAATAGCCAACTGCTGCCTTCAGCTAGGGAAAGTCTCTTGCTTTCTGGCCTGTTCACATGGGTGATTACAACTCAAATACTGGTACATTCTGTAATCATATCCAGCCTTGACTAGTGTAGCTCCCTCTTCTAAGATCTTCCAGCACAGTTTCTTATGATTGTAATCACTGGACTCATACACCTGTCATGATGCTTGCACATTTCTGCTCTTTTCTCTGTCAGCCTGTACTGGCTCTTTAGGCCTCATTCACACGAGAAAAGGCCAGCACGTACAGCTCCGTGCTGCATGCAGGGCCGTATTGGGCAGCTCCTGGGAAGGAAAGGTGCTGCGTGTTATTAGTATGCAGCCCCTGTCCTTCCCATACGCCGCCATACGCTCACCCGCCCTGCATGTCCGTGCGGGTGCCCATACTCGTACGCGGACAGGATGGACCCTGTCTGCTTCCGAGCCGGGACATCCGCACCCGTACGGACCTGCACTTGGGGTGTGCGTAGGGCAGCGTAAGGCTGTGTACTCCCATAGAGAAGGACAGGGGCTGCGTACTAATCACACGCAGCACCTGTCCTACCTGGGAGCTGTACGATACGGCCAGCAGGGAGCTGTACGTGCTGACCTTTTCTCATGTGAAGGAGGCCTTATGGTCTGCATGGTGAAATGGAAAGTCCCTGTTCTAGTATATGAAGGCCAGAGGAGGACACTTTGGGCATATGGGAGGGGGGGGGCAGGCAAATGCAACCAACTACCCGTGCACGGATCCCCTCCTGATCGGAGCGGTACGGAACAGATGTCACCAAATTGACATCAGTGGCCGTCCAGTTTTCTCCTCCACCTTATGTTGGAGGAAAAACTGATATGACCAGACCCCGTGTCAGTCTATGGGGAAATTAGAAGTAAATGGACATGTATGTTAAAAAAATTTGAAAAAAAAAGTTTTGGTTTTCGATCAATGCGCATAATGACTTGCAGTCTCTGTAAAACGTTAAAATATCTTGCAGCTCCTGGTCAGACAAAATAGATGACACTTGGTATCCTTTGTGTTTCTAGATACATTAATTTCAATTTTAGACACTGGTTAGTGTGCACACATCAAAAGTATATGATCCAAAGCACCAATAGGAAAAAAGGTTACATCATCCAGATGCATGAATGCTGGAATTCACATAACTTCATCTCTTCAGAGAAGCCATAGAGACATAAGCTGACAACTACTAATTTGCATTGTTGAGTTTGACAGATGAGCTTATTTGCATAATAAAGGCTTGGAATGGAATAGAAACTTTTTACTTTTTACCTTTTTCGCAGGCTGACAGAGCAGGAAAGCACCATACCAGGTCGCTTGCCCTCAACATGGGGCAGGGTCCCCATGTTGATGAGGACAAAGGCCTCTTCCCCACAACCCTGGCCAAGTGGATATGGAGGGTCTGCGGGCAGGGGAGCTTATCTAAATCTGGGTGCACCCAGATGCGCCCCCCCCCTTACCCTCGTGAATGAGTAAGGGGTAGTTGTTACCCCTACTCATTCACCAAATAAATATTAGGATGGTAAACACACCACACAGTTTTAGCAAGTTCTTTATTAACCCCTTCCCAACCGATGACCGGATTATACTGTACATGATTGTTTCGTTCATTATTGACCGGTGACGGGATAATCCTGTCATGCGGTACAATGAGAACTGGTCCGTGGAGGGACCAGCGCTAATTGAGTTACTGCTTTTGCTGGGTCCTCCTGGGCCCGAGGCAGACCCTCAACAGCAGATTAGGTGGTCACAGTCCAGTGATCACAGCAATAGCTGATCACTGTGACCACAGAGCCGTGGCAGCCACTGAGCCACTGAAAATAGTATATCATATGTGTAGGTGCAATGCATGAGGAAGATGGAAATTATGGTTGAAAAAACACATAGCATAAATACTCCTGATTGTAAATAAAGGGGTGGAGCAAGTTCATAACATCACGGGGGAAAAAATCTGAAACAAAATCTACAGCCATGCACATGTCTATTGATGAATGCAAAACCCACACTTCATATTATGGTATGGCTCATCTGTTAGTCTTTTCGGATGAGTGGACCTATAAGGGCTTATACTGATAGACAGAGCTGGACAGAGCAAATAATGAAAGTCGGTCTCATTTGTCTAATGTGTGTGTTATGTCTCTTTAAAACTTTATCTATGAAAAGTGTCTAATAATGTGTGTGATATTGATATTATCCTTGGTTAGATGTATGGGTCCACCTATTTTTTTATGTTGATGTTGTTGATGCTTATTTTTTATTTATTTTTTAATTCTTGTAACTTTTTTGTTGTTTTATTCTTTGTCATATGTAAGGAGCGTCCTCTGGTATAGCTATCCTTTTATTATAGCATTGGATCTGTATTTAAAGTGACATTAAACACTCAGATTTTTTAACATTAACCAATACTGTAATGTGTGCCTTACTGTAATCCATGGTAGTTTCCCTTCTCTTTGCTGCTCTTCCTTTTAAATCCTCATGTCTTCTCATGCTGGGGGAGAACTTCCCTTTGCAGCTGAGTGCCTCTTCCTGTAGTGCTGGCTCAGGTTGTGAACCTACACAGACACCATGTATCCATTTCAGAGACAAGGCAGTCTGCTGCAAAACAGAAGTTCTGCCCAGCATGAGAACAGATACAGATTTAAAAGGAAGAGCAGCAAAGAGAAGGGAAACAACCATGGATTACAGTAAGGCGCACATTACAGTATTGTTTTATGTAAAAAAATCTGAGGGTTTAATGTCACTTTAATGTTGCAAAAGCATAGTTACCATCTTTGACATGGGAGAGATTATTGGAATGGGTATTCATTTTGTCCCGTGTTTAGTTATTTGCCTTGCCTGCTGGGTATATGTCTGGCTCTGAAATTACTTTGTAGCATTAGCAACGTATTAAGTGGATTGTTGGTTGCACATCAGCCATGGTTCTGTGGTCAATTTGATTCACGTGTGCTTTATTCAGTCAGTTGTGGTTGGTTGTGACAAGTGTGTGCTGGCAGTAACCCACGATAATGTTTACCGACTGTCTGAAAAGTACCTGATATATGTTTGTTGTTATTTGGTTCTCTAGCTAACCCCCCATGATGATTCATTCATGTTTGATAGAGTGATTCTCGGTTTCTTGGCACCCCATTATCACTGCACTGATGATCCTGACTCTTCAGACCTTTAAAACAGTAGGGCTCTGTGAGTTTGATTTATAAAAATTGATGTGAAGTTAGAGTCTTGGCAACCAATCAGGTTTACTCTATTGAAAACAAAGTCCTCCTCAGGAGTGAGCGACTCCTATCGCCTGGCGCCCGGGACATGATGTTCCGTGTGCCGGGCTGGTGTTTTTTTTCCCCTCTACATTTAGCCCTGCTGGGGGTAAGCAGGGCCAAATGTAGAGCAGGGGAGCCGTCGCTCGTTT